GGAAATTGCCATCCTATCCGATAGTCAAGCAGCACTTAACGCGATCAACTCAGTAACCATCAATTCGAAGTTGGTCAAAGAATGCCTAGAGAAGCTCAACAAATTAGGCAAAGAAAATAAAGTCCTCCTACTCTGGGTGCCTGCTCACCAAGGGATAGAAGGCAATGAAAAAGCAAATGATCTAGCTAGGAAAGGAGCGAACACTGCACTAACTGGGCCAGAACCGTTCTGTTTTCCAAACGGGAACAACTGAAAGCGGAACTGAAGAATCTGGAAGACTCCATCCGTAACTTGGAATGGGTGTCCTCCAACGGTCTAAGACACTCGAAAAAGTTCCTTAGAACTTATGACCGAGAAAAATCAAAGGTTTTCCTTGATTTAAGTAAAAACAATCTTCGGATTGTCACGGGGTTTCTAACAGGACACTGTCTCCTCAACGAACACCTCAGTAGGCTGAAACTGAGAAACAACGGCGAATGCAGATTTTGTGGGGAAAAGGGGAAACACCAGAACACCTTATCACTGAGTGCGCCGAGACGACGACCATTCGTGCCATGAACCTTGGCACGTCTGATGTCGAGGATGGAGAGCTGGCCTCTGTGGAGCCGTCTCAGATACTGGCTTTTCTTAAAGCCCTGAGACTGTATGATGAGTTATAACTCGTTATAACTCAAGAAAGGGGAACACACAATAGATCTATAAGGTCGCGGTGATTAACTCCCCTTCTAAACATTCTACATTCTACATGGTGTCGTCAATTATGTGGAAGTTTTGACCTAGATCATATATACTTACGTGGATAAGTAAATCATTATGGAAACTGTTGCAAACATATCAACGACTTCCGTTTCTGTTCTTTTTTTTTGTTGCGTGTGCATGTAGAGATGCGTCTGTTCTATCTATTCTTGTCGAGGACCTATCCTCCACGCGCCAAATTTGAACATTAATTTTAAAAATTCAATTTGTAAAATGCTTATATTTGAACAATAAATTGAATGTTTACTGTCACAAAAATTAAATTATATAAAAAATATATTTAGCCACTCTGTACGAATATCAATATTAGGAAATCTAACCAGAAAGTATGCCATGCGGTTTAATATAAATAAAAGAACAACTGAATACTTTACTTGGCCATGAAAAGATAATTCGGGGACCTTTATATTAGAACTTCCACGCACCAAACACTTTCTAGTCATTTTTACGAGTATTTAGAAAGTCCAACGAAAAACAATTTGAAATATAATTACACAAACTTAAAATTAACTTCTCACTGAACACACTTGGCATCCTTGGCTGTATAAAATCGATCGATAAAAGAGTAATTAATACAATTTTTAAAATAAAAAACAAGCGTCGTTACACAATGGAAATAAGATTATGACATAGATAAATGCAACAAGTTTAGATTGGAAAGCCCGTAAAAATTTTAGGTCGCGAAATTATTTTGGGTCGCGTTTGTGATGGCGTTATACGCGATCTGGCGCTGCTATAGCGGTTGCTAAGAACAACGGCAAACAAAAACAGAAATAATTTTCTCTTGTCAAAGTCAGAATCTTCAAAAATCATAATAATCTTTCAAAATCTAAACCGCTCTCATTAAAGAAATTCCGAAAAGTGTTTATAGCGTCCATTTTCAAAATAATTATTGCTATCTTGTGAGTTTAATTCAAGTTTTATTTACTCCAACCGGTGATAATTGTGAAAAAGTGGCATTAAAAACTTAAAAAGGATCCATCGTGGATCGTGGCATAACGTCGGTTTCCAATGTTTCATAGGTATTTCATACATGCGTCCTTATATAAAATAAAGTTTCTTGTATGCAACACACTGTATTTTATTTATAAAATTAAACGAAAATAATAATAAATTTGAATAAACAATATTTGGCGATATAATTCCGGAAAAAGCCGAACCGCTCCGAAATTTTCAAAACTTTTTGGGTCGCGACCGTTGCGAGAATAGCGCCAAATAGTGTTTACATTGTCCTTATGGGCACTTTCCAATCTAAACTTGTTTCATTTATCTATGGATTATGACAAGATTATGACAATATGATGAGAATGAAAAGTTGGTTTCCATAACAATATATAATATTGTACTTTCTAATGGTATAATTTGTACTTTCTAAACCGTATAAAATTGTGATTATTTTAGAAATACATGCAACTTTTAATGTGCATGCGCAAAGTAAGGTCCTCGGGAAGGAACGTATATTGTTTATAAATAAGCCAGATCAGTTGATATATTTTGGTTGTCTCAACAATATCATACCGTGTTTTCGTTTATTACCAATCGTTTTTCATTAATTACCAAGTTTATAAAAAAGTCTATATCTCTGTGGCAGATTCATCTCTTCAAAACAGTCTTATGAGTATTCCGCCACTAGTACTGTAAGAAAATTAGTCAGCAGTGATTTGCTAGTAAATAAATTTGCCTAACGGTCAAAAATAACTTAATGTTTCGGGAAGTATATCTCTTCCTGTAATATATAAGGTAAAATCAAAAAGCCTCAAACTTTCTGTATGATTACTTTTAATTTTTACGTATGTTATGTTCCCAAGCAGCATTTGGACGTCGGGGCAACGTTGTGTCACGTGACCAAACGTCGGGGCGCAACGTCGGCACAACCTCGTGCCAACCCTAGTCTGCACTAGTTTGGAGAATCATTTTTGGGTCGAAACGACGTGGGATACCGACGTTGGTTAGTAGCCTAATTTAGTACAAACTGCAACGTTGTTTAAAATCCTAATTCACAGAAATACAAAACTATAATAATATGGCGTCTAAGTCGCATTTTATTCTAAATTGAGATAATTATAGTTAAAATATTATTTTTATGATTTAGTTAGAGACATATGTCAGATGGCAGTAAAGGAAAACAAAACAAAAGTATTTAAGTGTGGAGGATGTTTGAAGATCATAATTATTGAAACACTTTAACCAACTCTGTAACTCGTTACCCAAGGCAAAAAAGTTAAACGCAAACAACTTTATTGATAAATTTATTGTTTCTACTTTGAAAAATACTAATGGGCTTTAACATTAAAGAAGTTTTAAAAAAATTTTTTTTTTGGTAAAATGAGAATAATTTATTCGCAGTCGAAAAAAAAATCCGCGTGTTGTTTAGGGTCAAATATTTCAAGTTAATGTATTAAAAAAGCAGGAATTGCTCTTTTAGGAACGAAATATTTTCTTATTCAACAACATGGCGGCTTTCACTTTGTTGTTTTGGAGATTAAGATGGAGTAGTTCGAGTAGTCGCATACTGGACTAATAAAGTCGCAGTTCAGCCTTAACAGGTAGTATACTACTCGCAAGATTGCCTAATTTAGTCATCCTAGAATCTAGCTTGTGCCGCCCTCTATATTCTAAATAAACGAGGGAGTGGATAAAGTATCGGTAATATGTCGATGTATATTTAAATTTATTTATATGTGCCTTTCTTACGTCCCATTTTAATTAAGTTTTTTTTTATAAAAACAAAAACAGCACTGAACTGTCTGACTGAACAGAACAATGAAGTGAAAATTTAAGAATTAAGGTTATGGTTCAATACAGTTGCAAAAAGGTAGTGGCTCGACGTCCTACCAACGTAAGAATAAGGAAATCTAAACAACGTTGGAATTAGTAAAACAGACGACGTTTACATAACGTTGGAATAGGTCCTGAAAGTGACGTCGGAAAACTCTTTATTGCCCAACATTGTAACTACGTTGCCCGAATCACCTAAAGATTACTTAAGCAAAAAAGGTTACAAGACAACGTTTATTCGACGTCGCAGAAGCTTTTACTTTGTTGTAGTACAAGTTCAACGTCGGCACAACGTTACAACAACGTTTACATTTATTTTAATATCCAAGGTACAGAGCTAACTATTTTTTGTAACTAATCCAACGTTGTGTTTAGTAAACACGTGGTCGCAAGTCGTGAAAATGCTACTTGGGTTTATTTATGTTATGTTCTTTAAAATCAAAGAAGCGATTGCCATACCTTACTAACATGTACAGATGCATGAGCAATACATTTATTTTTATTAGATTGTATTAAAAAAGCCTTTTTTATTTTTCTTTTAGAGGCTATCGCTTCTTTCATTATAATTCTTGAGCTGTTAAAATCTACTCCGTGCCCTGTGTCCCATGAATGCTGATAAATCTTATGAAACATGTAAACTCATCGGCAAAAGTCTTGCACCCCCTTACTATTTCAATAAAAAATTACATTCCAAACTAATTTTTCGTGCAAATCAATAGATGCTAAAGTTATATTAAAAAATAACACAAAAAATGGAAAACTTTCACCAAGTTTAATAATATATTTTGCCAAAATATAAAAAATGCAAATTCCATGAAAAAAATATTTGACAAAAAAGAGAAAATAAATAATAAATTCTGACAAAGTTAAGGTTACTAATATAAAGTATTGCCTCCTCGATTTGTTATGAGTGTATCAAGTCGTCGGGGCATCCCCACTATAAGGCTATTTATGGTTTCTTGAGGTAAGTTCTGCCATTCCTCTTGAGCGGCAATGATCAACTCCTGGCGATTTGTTGGTGGGTTATTTTTGCGAAATACAGCTCTGGCGATGTAGTCCCAGACATGTTCAATAGGATTCATGTCGGGGGAGAGTGGAGGCCAGTCCAGACGAGTTATTTCCCCTTCATTTAATGCTTCCTGGACTATCCTAGCTCTGTGAGGACGAGCGTTATCATCCATGAGCATAAAATTGTTGCCGATTTCTTCTCGCAGTGGATAAATTATTGGTCTGATTACAGTTTCCACATACAAATGGGCGTTCATCACCTCAGGAATATGAATGAGCTATGTTTGCCTATTGTACATGATGCCACCCCAGAACATCTCAGTTCCTCCTTGATAAGGAGCAACAGCAAAGGCTGTATTCAAGCGATGCTGCCTCCTTGCCTCCCTCCACACTCGCTGACGATAGTCATCACTGATCAAACCTATCCTGGTTTCGTCAGTGAAAATTACGTTTCTCCACTAAGGTAATAACCAGGTCTGGTGTTCTCTAGCCCACTGTAGCCTCCTTTGTCTATGATGTAAAGTTAATAGAGGGACTCGCAATGGACGTCTACGCCGCAATCCAGCATTAGAAAGTCGCCTGGAAATGGTTCGGCTTGATATCACTTGGTCGTAAGTTCGTTTAAACTGAGATCGTCTCTCTAGAATTGGAACTGACCGATTTCTTCTGGCAAATTGAGCCAAGTAGCGATTCTGTCGTTCAGTCGTTATCCTTGGACGGCCCAACCTAGGACGAGATCTTACATTTCCGGTGTCCATATACCGTTGTATAATTCGGCTGACAGTACTTCGCACTAAATTTAAACGATCAGCAATTTGATGCCTGCTGAGACCTTCTTCATGCAAAGCGATAATTCGGGCCCTATCGAAGGCAAAAATTTCGTGCCCTGGCATTTTTGTCGCCTTTCACAATACTTACTACAAGATTGAACTCGAACTGAGAAACAAAATTTGACCGTAAATAGCAAAACCATACACATTCCATCGATAAGGTTTTCTTTCATTGCTTTTATGACCTATTTTTTGTAGACACATATTAAGGTATTTGTACACACAGCCTCAACAATATGCTATGCAAAGAAATAAATTTGTCTGGGGGGTGCAAGACTTTTGCCGATGAGTGTAAAATTTAAATATTGATATGCTTCGTCCATAATTGAACGTTTTATTTAAAAAGGAGAAACTACTATGTCTGTGTTAATTCTTGTTTTCTAAATATAAGATGACGCTTTAAATATTTCTACATTTCATTCTATCTGAAAATAAATATAATTACTGCTGAACGTTTAGCAAAACAAGACATTTCTGCTGGTATCTGCGTCTGTTCAATTTCCAATTGATATATATTTTTAGCCAAGTACATGTTATTTTCCGTTTGTCTGTAATTTGTTTTACGTACTTCAATAACATACCGCCTAAGCTCGATGACCCCAGTCTACTTTACATCAAAAATGAATCACACAGCTAAATCGTTCAGAGTAATAATCATTGTTTACATATTTTTATTCAGTCCAGTGTTTCACATCCAGAGCATTTCCCCTGTTCCGCCTAATATTCTTCCATTTATTGAAATTTGAATATACAGGGTGTCCTAGAAATAAGTGCAAGTATTTTATCTGGTAATATATAGTATTTTGTTTAAAATTAAAACCTAGGAACTAGTGCGGTTCCAGTCCGAAGGGTTTGGACTAAAATTAATATATTTTGTTAATGGTCAAGCTTTCGGAATTTATTTATTCCATCCTCGGGACATCAACGTGCTAAAAAACTTTTTTTAAAAACTATATTAAAAAATAGGCTTAACGGATACATTGAAGACTCCACAGTAGTAGTGGGAACTATCGAATGAATACTATCGAAACATTCGATAGTTGCAATTCATTCGAATAATTCGATAGTTAGTAAGAAAACATTCGTTGAAAACTATTTGAATAAAAAATATCGAATAGATCCGTCATCTGCCTTGAAATATTGTATTCTAGTAATTCGGCAGCAAAAACCATTCATTTATAAAATTCATTCATTTATGAAATTCATTTATTCGTCAGGATCAATTATAATAAAATATTAACTGAATGTTTCTTTCCGAGAAACCCGACAGCGGTCGGTGGCAATGCTATGAAAGAAGCCGGCATCTTTGATTTTGTGCGGAGTCAGATATAGATAAGGACACATTATTTTTTTTATTGAGGTGCTAGTATTTACACAAAAAATACATTATGAAGGGCGCTGTTGCCATATTTTGGTATTAGTTGATATTAGCAAAGAATATTATTGTTTGGCTTTAGTTAGTTAGGGATAGTATGTCTATATATTCTGCATTTTTTTATTAATATTCTATTGTTACACTGCAATAATACTTGTTATTTTGGATGTAGGAAAATAAGTTTTAATGTTTTTAAGCAAAGACTGGTTTAATAAATAATAATAACAGTAATAATTTGTTATACCTATTAACAATAAAATTTAAAATCATTTAATATAAATATTTTTTTTAGTCTCTAAATTTTTTGTGTGTGGCAACGTTGGTTTATTAAATAATAATAATTACAGAACTAATTTGTTATATTAACAACAAATTTTAAAATCATGAAATATAAACATTTATTAATTTTCTAAGCATGCAGTGTAATGGAAGAAAAATATAAATAAAAAATTAGAAATCAAAATTATTTATATTAGGTCCTTTATATTACTATTTAAAAATTATATTTACTTTTACTGGCATTTACTTTAAAAAATAAATGAAATATTTCTTCGCAAAAAACTACATGTAAGAGAATTAGCATAAACAAAATAAAAACATCGTTAACTTTTTTTTTAATTGGCACGTGTAAAACTTTCATTTTAATTTTCTCAACCCATAGTTTGAGTTCAATAACCAAGTTCAACTAATTCATATTATTAAAACATCCAAAATACAAATATGTATTTTTAAAATTAATTGTAAGTTCATCTCATCTCTCTTAAAAATTGCTACTTCTCAAAATTTCCCATTAAAAAATAGACCATATACCATATAAAATTAAATAATTGAAAGATCGGACTACGGAAAACCACACAAATTTTCGGAAAAATTTTGACCACCTGCACATGCACACAATCGTCAATAAATAAAATTAAAAAATAACTACTATTTTAATAAACGCAAAAATAGCACAGTATTTATACGGCGAAGTTATAAAAATTTGGAAGAACTAATAATGCACTGACGCATACAAAAATCAAAGGAATACTAAATTTCATTTGTCAAAAGCATTCGATAGTCGTGGCTCAACGATAACCATTTAGTCGCACAGCGAGGTTGTCCCATATGCTTTAGTATACAAATGAATGAATGATTTTATTCGAATAAAACCATTCGATAGTTGAAATCATTCATTCATTAATCATTCGATAGTCTAATTCATTCGATAGTTCCCATCGCTACTCCACAGTAAAACCATCACTGACCAGTAAATAACCACATTATGGGCTATCATGGGGCGAATAAACCGCCTGATTATTAATTAAAACATTGGAAATAATTGCGAAATTTTCTCCAATGTCTCAAAATGTCAAAAGTAGCAAAATAAGCGTTCGGCATTTAACGTTTTATGTAAAACTGGTTAGGTATTTTTACACAAATTAGGAAATTAAAGATAAAGGATTATACTATATCCATAATGTAGCACATTTTTAGACAACTTCTTTAATTTTAAGATTTTGAAGGTCAAACACAACAAAATATTCCTATATGTTTGGATTAAATTTTCTCGAAAATAAAGACATAAATTAAAATTCCGTTACAATACGAAAATAGATTGAAGTTTTGTGATTACAGTGATATATAATTTATATGGTTTTGTAACAAATTGCTTGCTATTTTATGGCAAATTCTGAAGCTCTGCAAACCTTAACCAAGCCTTAATCATGTGTGTTTGGAATTTTGGGTGTGGCTTAACAAGACAAGATCGGGCTAAACCTTAGGCAGATTTCTGAAATATAATATATATTTCCTTAGGCCACACACCCGCTTTACCCGACCCCTGAGAGCGACCCGAACGGTACAGCATAATAGACTCTTAAAGACTTTCTACCAACGCGGGGGCGTATTAACTCAACATCTAAATATTCCGAGATCGACATTCCAGCAAAACGCATAGTTTTCTGCCACCTTAATATCCTTGGACACAGTCTTTTGCCACATTTGTCCGTAGTCTTCTTTGACACATCCCAATTATATTGAATAAAACAAATATTTTTTCACCTTTTCGAATTTTGTGAATCAGCTCTAAGAATCTAATACAGGGTATTAGATTCAGGGTGACAATTTGAAAACGAACAGTATTTAATATTACATCAACCGATGATAGTATGAAATAGTGATGGGTTGTTATTTAACTATCTGTTATTTTATAACAATTATTTAGAAATAACATAACGCAACCGTTACTGCTTTTAAAAAATAACAGATATAAAATAACGACACGCAGAGATCGAGTGTTCGTGAAACGAAGTCGGCGCTCTGCACCGCCACGAAATTCGATGCTGCTCGAAGCAATTCCAAAAAACAACTAGTATGGATGGAAGGGATCTCAGATGGAAAACCTATTATTTCGACAACCATCGATACAGGCGGCCAGATACAACGGACAACGGAGTGGGGTATGCGCTACGGCGCGGCGCGTCGTGTTGGGCTGACAACAGCTTAAAAATAATAGGATATAAAAGAAGCAGCTTTTTTGAAACAGTTGCGGGCATAACGCCTGGCTGTCGAGATAACAGGAGTGGGAAAGGAGCGCTGCTGCATCGGTCGATTGTCGATGGAGGCTCGCAACGGGTTGGAGAATAACGCATCAGTTGTTTTAGCTATGTTGTTTTTTACCTGTTACGAGCATAACAGAACGGCGTTCGAGATAACCGGAGGTTTGAAACAGGTTGGAGAATAACGCATCAGTTGTTTTAGATACATATTGTTTTTCAACCTGTTACGAGCATAACGGGCGGAGGTCGAGATATTATGGCGCTGTATGTTTCAATACTTTGTTATTAAGTTTCAATATTTAAGTATTTATTTATTCTGAAAAATTTTCAGAATAATATTTTAAGATTTTTGAAAATGTATACAGGGTGTTTTGAAAATCTGGTCATTGATTAATCATGATCCTGCTTAAAGCCCTTGACGTAAAAAGCTGATTTTTTGGAAAACGGATTGACTTTAGGGTGTAGAGGTGCGATAAGAAGGGATTTTTCGAAACTCAAATTCTAAGGGGTGAAACCACCCTCAAATATTAGAATATTTTTATTTAAAACTGGTGAGTTTTTCGAAAAACTCTTAGACACGTATATTTTATTTTGTTGTTTTACATATTTTGAGATTTTTACAAAAATATATACAGGGTGTTTCATAAAATATGACCACTGAGTAATCACTATTCTGCTTAAACTGCTTGACGTTTAAAGCTGATTTTTGGTAAACGGATTGACTGTGGGGTGTAGAGGTGCGATAAGGAGGGGTTTCTCGAATCTCAAATTCTAAGAGGGTGAAAACGCCCCTCAAATATTACAATATTTATTATTCAAAAACGGTTAGTCTTTCGGGAAAACGATTGGACACGCATAATTTATTTTGTTTTTTACATATTTTGAAATTTTTAAAAAATAATACAGGGTGTTCCAAAAAGTTGAGTAATTGATTAACCACGATTCTGCTTAAACTGCTCGATGTTTAAAGCATATTTTTGGCAAATGTGAGAAAATTTTATCCAGTTTGTATGTTAATGGAAATTCTTGCTTTGCTTTATCATCACCATTACAAATTAATAATTCGATGCGAACGAAGTCGCGGGTACAACTTAACAAGTATAGCTAGAGACGTGAGAAATATAAAATAAGAGACGTCGGGGGGCGCA